GGGGGGGGGGGGGGGTAGTTGGTTCTAGTTGGTGCTACTTTATTAACCCCAGTTGACTAGTTATTATATGTTTTAACTGTCGAGATTAAAAGGAAAATCATAAACAATGCTGGGTATGTCGCATTTACCCTGATCTTTGATAGTAAATTCTGCCATTTCTAGATATTTTTGTATGGTGTGGAGGAATGACTATAAATGGGATAAGTGAACTGTGAGAATCAGAAAAGAAAAACAGATTTGATCTCTTGTTGTTATTTTTATCTATTCCCTATTTGTTCTTGGTTTAAGAAGTGGGAATTGGTTCTTTCAAATGGATCTTAGCATCTAACCCCCTGTTCTCTTGTCAGAGGCTTGACAGTCTTGGAGTTCCTGCAGAGAATTTGGAACAACTAGAGCCTGGTTTAGTTGCTTATGTGAAGAGTAATAAGTCTCAAATTGGAGAGTTGATCTCTGCACTTTTGCCTACTAATGAGGAGGCAATGGAGGTTATTACAGAACAACAAATAGAGTCTCCAAAATCCACGGGCAGCTCAAGCGTTAATGTTAAAGATTTATTCGGAGAAAGTATGAATTGGTTACAGTGGTTGATGTTTGACGGTGAACCAAGTAGCGCGCTGGAGCAACTGGCAGACACTGGTCAGCGTGGTGTTTGTGGGGCCGTTTGGGGTAACAATGACATTGCATATCGTTGCCGTACATGTGAGCATGATCCAACATGTGCAATTTGTGTTCCATGTTTCCAGAATGGGAACCACAAGGACCACGATTACTCTATCATTTATACAGGTGGGGGTTGCTGCGATTGTGGAGATGTTACTGCTTGGAAACGTGAAGGGTTCTGTTCCAAGCATAAAGGTGCTGAGCAGATACAACCTCTTCCAGAGGAGTTTGCAAACTCATTGGGGCCTGTACTTGATTTATTACTGTCTTCTTGGAGAAATAGGCTCCTATTTCCAGAAAGCATCTCCGAGCAAAACCCAAGAGAAAATGATCATACTACTGAGCTCAAAACGGTTACAGATGAGTTGACATCTGCAGTGGTGGAGATGCTATTGAAGTTCTGTAAGCATAGTGAAAGTTTGCTTAGTTTTATCTCTAGGAGAGTATCTTCTTCAGCAGGGTTACTAGATATTCTGGTGAGGGCAGAGAGGTTCATGGTCACTGAAGAAAATGTCAAGAAGATTCATGAATTGCTATTGAAATTGTTGGGTGAACCTCAATTTAAATTTGAATTTGCAAAAGTATTTATGAGCTATTACCCAACTGTTGTGAATGAGGCAATAAGGGAATGTAATGATACAGTTTTCAACAAATATCCTCTACTATCAACATTCTCCGTGCAGATATTTACGGTGCCTACTTTGACCCCACGCCTTGTGAAGGAAATGAATCTTTTGTCCATGCTGTTGGGATGTTTAGGGGACATACTTGTGTCTTGCGCTGGAGAAGATGGTAAATTGCAGGTAATGCTCTTTGCTTTCAATTTATCAATAAGCATGATTTGGATAATTATATTACATTAAGGATCATTGTTATTATTGTGCGAAATCTAAAGTTCTGATATAAGCATATTTATATACTTGTTTTTTTCCCCGTTAACAAACATATTTATATACTTGTTAAAAGATTTTTTTGAATCCTCTTTCCTTCTCCGTTTAGATATGTGTAAAAATCTCCTTGTGTAGCTTATGTTACTAAGACGGGGAACCTTTGGATAATAGTAAGAATTGCTGCCGTTGACCAGAAGGTTATGGTTCAAGCCGTGGAAAGAGCCTCCTATAAAAATGCAAGAAGGCTGCGTATAATAGATCCAATATGGTCCAATCTTTCCTTGGACCCGCTCATAACAGGATCCTGGTGCACTAAGCTGCCCTTTCGCTTATGTTACTAAATAGGTTCTTCTCTGTTCTTGGATGGAGATGTATGTATGGTTCCTCTGCAAAATTTTGTATATTAGGTGTAGACTTCTTTGGATATCACCTCGTAAATGCTCTAACTTTTCCTATGCATGGATAGATTAAGCTATAAATTACTTCGAATATAGGAGTTGAAATGAAGTCATACAACATAACTGTTTTAATAAGTCGGAATCAGAATACATAAAATTGTTTTAGTTTCTGCTATATGTAGACAAATGCGTGAAATGAAGGCCATTAACTCCTGCACTAGAATCTGTTCTCATCTTATTTGAATAGAATAGCCTTGAATGGCCGTTTGGTTTTGAATCTCGTGTGTATTAGTTGACAACGTTCAAAAATAAATTTCTTTGCTCTGCTTTTTTCCTCCGTTGGTGGTTGGATCAACTTGCATAACTCGATTATGCTACTGAGTACCTCATACTCCCACCAGTCCTCGATGCTGGTTAATTAGGATTCTTTCTTTATATAGAGGGTTCCTTTTTGTTTAATGCATTGAACTTTATCCACTACTATCTTACTTAAAGAAATACCTTACGAGTTAAGAGAAGTATAATAGACACAACCATAATTAATAACGTAGAGGGTCCTTTATTTATTTAATTAATTTCGTCATATTTTGCCTTCTATATCTTTTATATACTTTTAGCATGTAATAGTTACCAATACAAGGAATATCGACTTCGGAGTAACTTTGCTACCAAAGCTTAGGCATATGGAAGAAATCACCTAGCGCCAAGTTCTCTTGCCTAGTTTAGATAAAGCACCCCTTATCGCCCCACAACATCTGGTTAGGACACAAAGCTTATTCTATTCCTAAAATAGCGGATTCTATAACAACATTCTGCCTTTTCGAAGACAGAGCACTCGTGGCACACACTTTGCCTTTTGCCTTAGAAAGAGTTCAACCCACTTGAAGAGGAAAGGGGAGTAGGCATAGTACCGGAAAGTACGGATTCGGGGTTCATCCCTCAATCAAGCGCTACTTGATACTCAGGATAGATTCCACTCTCAGTTAGTACGTACCTTTTTTTTAAGGGATTTGAGATAAGATCTCCCATGATCTTCATTCTAACTTTATCAACCAATAGTGACACTGTTGGCTGCGAAATTTCTTCTCTGTTTCGACGACACAAGGCAAAAAAAGCAATATCTGCTAGTATTTAAACATATGAACTGCTAGATCATTTTTTCATGGGTCATTATATTTTTCCCAAGGTCAAATGCTCTTTAATGCAGCCATTAATGCTGTGTTTTTGAGTGTGAATAATTATGTATAGTCATAGTTTAGTTGGCAATTCATTGTTTAATGAATTTTCTGACGAACACCTTTGTCAGATTATTCACCATTGGGGTTTCTGCTGTACACCTTGACCGAGTTTTTTTTGATAAGGGAAACACTTATCAAAGGGAAACACTTATTAAGAGGAATTTCCAAGTGCTTCCCTCTTGGTTCTTTTCTCCTCTGTAGTGGAGTAAATGTGTCTCCGTTGATGGCTGTCTTTAGCAGGTCATCTGAGCATAAATTGCGCTGGAGCCTGGACAATGTTTTTAAGAGCGAGAAGCGCAAAAAAGCGACAAGGGCTCGCCTCGCTTCAAAAGCGAAGCGCACGTTTTATTAAAGTGAAGCGCAATTCTTAAAAAACATAATGTAAACCTTGCAAAGACACAACATAAAATTATAAATAATCAAAAAGTTCAATTTAAAAACTTAAAAGTAGGTACTATGTACCACCAAATCCTNTTTTATTAAAGTGAAGCGCAATTCTTAAAAAACATAATGTAAACCTTGCAAAGACACAACATAAAATTATAAATAATCAAAAAGTTCAATTTAAAAACTTAAAAGTAGGTACTATGTACCACC